GACTTTAGACGGTCTTTTCTTTCTTCCGTGCCTTGATATTTCACTCTGGAATGTCGAAGTGGCGACCGGCGGCACAAAACTCTAGTCTCTCGGCGTAGTCAAATGGCGTTCGCAGTTTCCCCATGTCGAAGTCGGTGTAAACAATCTATCATTAAATACCTTCGGATACCGCGGTGGGTACAGATACCATGAAAGATCATGCCTATACTGAACAAACCACCTGCTTTTATGGGGACAAGGTAGGATTGAAAATGTTCAGACAGTTAAAACAACATCGTTTTCTGACCAATAGTACGCGTTTAGCCCAAGCCGGGTGTCATCAGTCTCCTCATACTCAACGTGTTAACTGTCATTAACCGTTAAATATACAATCAGCCAAGCCTTTCATGCTTGTTAGGTCACCTGGGTAAATTTGTTTACTTATGGTAATTACATGTGTTAGGGTCACGCTCATTGTGGTTTCCTAATTATCAATGGATCAGACCACATCAAATGTTTCGTTGCAGTGACCAGTCAATTAATTTTTCTGTAGATTTTTTTTTTTAAAATCTGATCTCCAAAAAGTACCTGCGCACTATACGCGAGTGCGCACTATACGCGAATATTTACCGTATGTTACGGCCATTTGTAAGTGTGTGAGGTTTGTTACGGCCATTTGTAAGTGTGTGAGGTTTGTTACGGCCATTTATAAGTGTGTGAGGTTTGTTGCGGCCGTTTGTAAGTGTGTGAGGTATGTTGTGGCCATTTGTAAGTGTGTGAGGTTTGTTGTGACCATTTGTAAGTGTGTGAGGTATGTTGTGGCCATTTGTAAGTGTGTGAGGTATGTTGTGGCCATTTGTAAGTGTGTGAAGTATGTTGTGGCCATTTGTAGGTGTGTGAGGTTTGTTGTGGCCATTTGTAAGTGTGTGAGGTTTGTTGTGGCCATTTGTAAGTGTGTGAGGTTTGTTACAGCCATTTGTAAGTGTGTGAGGTATGTTACGACCATTTGTAAGTGTGTGAGGTTTGTTACGGCCATTTGTAAGTGTGTGATGTTTGTTACGGCCATTTGTAAGTGTGTGAGGTTTGTTGTGGCCTTTTGTAAGTGTGTGAGGTTTGTTACGGCCATTTGTAAGTGTGCGAGGTTTGTTACGGCCATTTGTAAGTGTGTGAGGTTTGTTGTGGCCATTTGTAAGTGTGTGAGGTTTGTTGTGGCCATTTGTAAGTTTGTGAGGTTTGTTGTGGCCATTTGTAAGTGTGTGAGGTTTCTTATGGCCATTTGTAAGTGTGTGAGGTTTGTTACGGCCATTTGTAAGTGTTTGAGGTTTGATCGAAGTCCAATAAATAAAGAAACCTTGAGAATGCAAATAACAACTTTCTAAAAATAGTAACGTTGGCTTTCACCTTGACCCAACAACCCTGAAAGTAGAACTTATTTAAGATTTCAGTTCCTTAAAAGTGTTAATTTTGAAAGAAAATACCTCCAGGAGACAAGAAGTGTTCTGAATATTATTTTCTAAAGATAGTAAGTGACCTCGAACCAACAATCCTGATACTTGTCCAAGATATCATAATCATATTAATGTGATTTGATCCAAACCCAAGGAATGAAGGCATTCAAGTACCGACAAATAATTTCTATAAATCTCAGCAGTGACTTTGACCTAAAAACCCTGAAACATAAACTATAGCTTGATAATCTATAATTTAATTTCAATAAAATACATTGTGGGTGCTCTGTATTGAACTTATCAAGATGAAATAAAGCGGACGGACGCCTAGACGGACGGACGGATGGACGGACAGACAGACAGGAAACAAAAGATCAAGACTGAATACTCTCAGACCAATACATAATTCCCTCACAATCAATATTGAGTACCCTAAAGATCGATACATAAGTCCCTCACAATCAATAGTGAGTACCCTAAGACCAATACATAATTCCCTCACTATCAATAGTGAGTACCCTCAGACCAATACATAATTCCCTCACAATCAATAGTGAGTACCCTCAGACCAATACATACTTCCCTCACAATCAATAGTGAGTACCCTCAGACCAATACATAATTCCCTCACAATCAATAGTGAGTACCCTCAGACCAATACATAAGTCCCTCACAATCAATAGTGAGTACCCTCAGACCAATACATAATTCCCTCACTATCAATAGTGAGTATCCTAAAGACCAATACATAAGTCCCTCACAATCAATAGTGAGTACCCTAAAGATCAATACAAAAGTCCCTCACAAAAGCGAGTACTCTCATGCTCAATACCAAGTACCCTGATCCCACCAAGTACCCTGATCCCACCAAGTACCCTGATCCCTAGTTCAATCTGGAGCACCATCAAATTCAATACCAAGTACCTTCATTTTAAATACTGTGTACTTCTCTGATCAATCTGGAGTACCTTCATGATTGATATTGAGTCCCCTAATGCCCAATCTGGAGTACCTTCATGATTCATATGGAGTCCCCTAATGACCAATCTGGAGTACCTTCATGATTCATATGGAGTCCCCTAATGACCAATCTGGAGTACCTTCATGATTCATATGGAGTCCCCTAATGACCAATCTGGAGTACCTTCATGATTCATATGGAGTCCCCTAATGCCCAATCTGGAGTACCCTCATGATTGATATAGAGTCCCCTAATGCCCAATCTGGAGTACCCTCATGATTGATACTGAGTCCCCTAATGCCCAATCTGGAGTACCCTCATGATTGATACTGAGTCCCCTAATGCCCAATCTGGAGTACCCTCATGATTGATATTGAGTCCCCTAATGCCCAATCTGGAGTACCCTCATGATTGATACTGAGTCCCCTAATGACCAATCTGGAGTAACCTCATGATTGATATTGAGTCCCCTAATGCCCAATCTGGAGTACCTTCATGATTGATATTGAGTCCCCTAATGACCAATCTGGAGTACCCTCATGATTCATATGGAGTCCCCTAATGCCCAATCTGGAGTACCTTCATGATTCATATTCATGATTGTATGGAGTCCCCTAATGCCCAATCTGGAGTACCCTCATGATTCATATGGAGTCCCCTAATGCCCAATCTGGAGTACCTTCATGATTCATATGGAGTCCCCTAATGCCCAATCTGGAGTACCTTCATGATTCATATGGAGTCCCCTAATGACCAATCTGGAGTACCCTCATGATTCATATGGAGTCCCCTAATGCCCAATCTGGAGTACCTTCATGATTCATATGGAGTCCCCTAATGACCAATCTGGAGTAACCTCATGATTCATATGGAGTCCCCTAATGCCCAATCTGGAGTAACCTCATGATTCATATGGAGTCCCCTAATGCCCAATCTGGAGTAACCTCATGATTCATATGGAGTCCCCTAATGCCCAATCTGGAGTACCTTCATGATTCATATGGAGTCCCCTAATGACCAATCTGGAGTACCTTCATGATTCATATGGAGTCCCCTAATGCCCAATCTGGAGTAACCTCATGATTCATATGGAGTCCCCTAATGACCAATCTGGAGTACCCTCATGATTCATATGGAGTCCCCTAATGCCCAATCTGGAGTAACCTCATGATTCATATGGAGTCCCCTAATGCCCAATCTGGAGTACCTTCATGATTCATATGGAGTCCCCTAATGCCCAATCTGGAGTACCTTCATGATTGATACTGAGTCCCCTAAAGCCCAATCTGGAGTAACCTCATGATTCATATGGAGTCCCCTAATGCCCAATCTGGAGTAACCTCATGATTCATATGGTCCCCTAGTCTGGAGTACCCATGATTGATATGACCAATGACCAATCTGGAGTACCCTCATGATTCATATGGAGTCCCCTAATGCCCAATCTGGAGTACCTTCATGATTCATATGGAGTCCCCTAATGCCCAATCTGGAGTACCTTCATGATTGATTCATCTGGAGTACCTTCATGATTCATATGGAGTCCCCTAATGACCAATCTGGAGTACCTTCATGATTGATACTGAGTCCCCTAATGACCAATCTGGAGTACCTTCATGATTGATACTGAGTCCCCTAATGACCAATCTGGAGTACCTTCATGATTGATACTGAGTCCCCTAATGCCCAATCTGGAGTAACCTCATGATTGATACTGAGTCCCCTAATGCCCAATCTGGAGTACCCTCATGATTGATACTGAGTCCCCTAATGCCCAATCTGGAGTACCTTCATGATTCATATGGAGTCCCCTAATGCCCAATCTGGAGTACCTTCATGATTCATATGGAGTCCCCTAATGACCAATCTGGAGTACCTTCATGATTCATATGGAGTCCCCTAATGCCCAATCTGGAGTACCTTCATGATTGATACTGAGTCCCCTAATGCCCAATCTGGAGTACCCTCATGATTGATACTGAGTCCCCTAATGACCAATCTGGAGTACCCTCATGATTGATACTGAGTCCCCTAATGCCCAATCTGGAGTAACCTCATGATTGATACTGAGTCCCCTAATGCCCAATCTGGAGTACCCTCATGATTGATACTGAGTCCCCTAATGCCCAATCTGGAGTACCCTCATGATTGATACTGAGTCCCCTAATGCCCAATCTGGAGTAACCTCATGATTGATACTGAGTCCCCTAATGACCAATCTGGAGTACCCTCATGATTCATATGGAGTCCCCTAATGACCAATCTGGAGTACCCTCATGATTCATATGGAGTCCCCTAATGACCAATCTGGAGTACCCTCATGATTGATATAGAGTCCCCTAATGCCCAATCTGGAGTACCTTCATGATTGATATTGAGTCCCCTAATGCCCAATCTGGAGTACCTTCATGATTGATATGGAGTCCCCTAATGACCACCAATCTGGATTACCCTCATGATAACTTTGTAGAACCATCAAGTTCAATCTATAGAGCTAATATATCAGACAGACGGGTGAATATCATGTACATCGGTTTTTAATGCAATCAATCGTGACTGATATACTTCTGTGTGTATAATACGATTGATATACTACTGCATGTGTAATTTACCTTCTGTCACAAAGCGCACGACAACAGGTTTTTCGCTTCCTGCCACAAAGCCAAATCCTTTCGATGTGTCTCTGGAGAGTTCAATATCACGGGGTTTGGGAGGTTCCACATAGTCAGGGTCATCTCTAGGGTCATCTCTGGTCGTGTACTTGTCTACATGGCTAGAAAGACAGAAAATATCAGGAATAAGTATACACCATAAATATGACAGAACATGTAAGGAATAATTAAATGACAGCTAAGAATAACAGATATACATACAAAATGAGACAAGAAGTATGGATGGCTTAGAATTAACCTTACAGGTGTCAAGAGAACAGTGTATATATATATATATGTCAATGTTGTCTGTAGTCAAGGAAACTGTATATATATATGTCAATATTGCCTGTGGTCAAGAAAACTGTATATATATGTCTATGTTGTCTGTAGTCAAGGAAACTATAAATATATTTGTCAATGTTGCTTTTAGTCAAGGAAACTTTTTTGGATATATATGTCAATGTTGTCTGTAGTCAAGGAAACTATTTTGGATATTATATGTCAATGTTGTCTGTAGTCAAGGAAACTATATATATATATATATATATGTCAATGTTGTCTGTAGTCAAGGAAACTATTTTGGATATATATGTCAATGTTGTCTGTAGTCAAGGAAACTATATATATATATATATATATGTTGTCTGTAGTCAAGGAAACTATATATATATGTCAATGTTGTCTGTAGTCAAGGAAACTGGATATATATGTCAATGTTGTCTGTAGTCAAGGAAACTATATATATATGTCAATGTTGTCTGTAGTCAAGGAAACTGGATATATATGTCAATGTTGTCTGTAGTCAAGGAAACTGTATATATATATATGTCAATGTTGTCTGTAGTCAAGGAAACTATTTTGGATATATATGTCAATGTTGTCTGTAGTCAAGGAAACTATTTTGGATATATATGTCAATGTGGTCTGTAGTAAAGGAAACTATATATATATATATATATATGTGTCAATGTTGTCTGTAGTCAAGGAAACTATTTTGGATATATATGTCAATGTTGTCTGTAGTAAAGGAAACTATATATATATATATATATATATGTAAATGTTGTCTGTAGTCAAGGAAACTATTTTGGATATATATGTCTATGTTGTCTGTAGTCAAGGAAACTATTTTGGATATATATGTTAATACAGATTTTAGCATTAATATATTTCTAGAGACACATAAAAACCACAGGTCAGAAAATGGATATCAATCATCTTGATTGAGAATGATGTATTACAATTACACCCATCTCATTTTGGTTCCAATCTTGAACTCTCACATAAAGCACAATCCTATCCATCACATAACACACAAGGCACCATGATCCAATCTCACAGACATTGCTTCAGAATGGATTTAAATTTCCATTTTATGAACGTTTCTCTGTAGAAGATACTGTTCCCTTTCGGTTCATTTTATTTCACAACAATCAATGCTTTTGTGTAATAATTCAGCCCTCCAATATAAACTAAACAGAAGTAGGCCTGACATTGGATCATGTAGGTAACATTCACTGATTTCATTCTCTACAAAATCATAACCGAGAGGGCAACTTGTAGGAGAAACATCCTGTCTGAGAAATAATAATTGTACACTGTTAGATAACAGGTGTTAGCAGTGTAAAATCTGTGTGATATCCTGATCCGAAAAAAGAATGCCAGAATGTTACACCTTAGGACCAGTCTCAGGAATGTGTAGAAATGATGACACATACATCATGTTTTTACAAGAAATATTTTTAATTGATCATTTTAGTTTAAGAGATCACAGCCAGTAAGACTTCCTCCTGTATCTACTGCATGGAATTTGTAACGATGCATATTTATATTTCCACTGAACTTGGACTCAATATTCCAACCAAGATAATTAGAGGTTATTGCTCAATGAACTTTCCATTTAGCATAGTAATGTATTGTCATCCTAAAACCTATCTCCCCTTGCTCCAAGCAATATTTGCATGAAGTATGGTTCGATTCTATTAATTTCAATGTCGAAGAACTGCTCTTTCTATTTCAAAAGCACTAAGGAGAAATGAAGTGTAGTTCGCATGCATCTATCTACCATGTTAGTTTTTTTTTAAGGAATTCTCGTTACTGTCTGTTATTCTGATGAGCATGGGGCCTGGGGCTATTTTTTTTCTTTTTATTCATTTTGTAAAAACTGTTATAATTTAATCAACACAAGTTCCCTTTCATGAACTAGATTTGCGTTTCAGTTTAAAAAGTTTAAAAAAATTATGAAGATTAAGTATAAAGATGTACTCATTTTCTGGCAAATTCTGTGATAGGCTTGCACAAGTCTCATTTTGCAAAGAACTCTGGAGTAAAGTTTCAAAATCACACTAAATAGAAATACAAGGATTGAATAATACTGAGGTTTATAGTGTATAAACCTCCAAAGGACCCAGACACAAAATAAATAGCAGTTTATAAAATTTCTCACAATTCAAACATTCACATGAACTGCTTCCTGGTTCATACAATTCCTTTTAGGGTCGTTAATACACCTCATAAAACTAAAGTACAGTATACAGTTGTTTTGAGATGTACAGTAGACAATCGTTTTGAGATGTACAGTAGACAATAGTTTTGAGATGTACCGTAGACATCGTTTTGAGATGTACAGTAGACAATTGTTTTGAGATGTACAGTAGACAATTGTTTTGAGATGTACAGTAGACAATTGTTTTGAGATGTTCAATATACAATTGTTTTGAGATGTACAGTAGACAATTGTTTTGAGATGTTCAGTAGACAATTGTTTTGAGATGTTCAGTAGACATCGTTTTGAGATGTTCAGCAGACAATCGTTTTGAGATGTACAGTAGACAATTGTTTTGAGATGTACAGTAGACAATTGTTTTGAGATGTACAGTAGACAATTGTTTTGAGATGTTCAGTAGACAATCGTTTTGAGATGTTCAGTAGACATCGTTTTGAGATGTTCAGTAGACAATTGTTTTGAGATGTACAGTAGACAATCGTTTTGAGATGTTCAGTAGACAATTGTTTTGAGATGTTCAGTAGACATCGTTTTGAGATGTACAGTAGACAATTGTTTTGAGATGTACAGTAGACAATTGTTTTGAGATGTACAGTAGACAATTGTTTTGAGATGTTCAGTAGACAATTGTTTTGAGATGTACAGTAGACAATTGTTTTGAGATGTGTTTTGAGATGTTCAGTAGACAATTGTTGTTGGCTGTCCAGTAGACAATTGTTTTGAGATGTTCAGTAGACAATTGTTTTTGAGATGTACAGTAGACAATTGTTTTGAGATGTTCAGTAGACAATTGTTGTTGGCTGTCCAGTAGACAATTGTTTTGAGATGTACAGTAGACAATTGTTTTGAGATGTACAGTAGACAATTGTTTTTGAGATGTTCAGTAGACAATTGTTGTTGGCTGTCCAGTAGACAATTGTTTTGAGATGTACAGTAGACAATTGTTTTGAGATGTGTTTTGAGATGTTCAGTAGACAATTGTTGTTGGCTGTCCAGTAGACAATTGTTGTTGGCTGTCCAGTAGACAATTGTTTTGAGATGTTCAGTAGACAATTGTTTTGAGATGTTCAGTAGACAATTGTTTTTGAGATGTTCAGTAGACAATTGTTTTGATGTACAGTAGACAATTGTTTTGAGATGTGTTTTGAGATGTTCAGTAGACAATTGTTGTTGGCTGTCCAGTTGACAATTGTTTTGAGATGTTCAGTAGACAATTGTTTTGAGATGTTCAGTAGACAATTGTTTTTGAGATGTTCAGTAGACAATTGTTTTGAGATGTTCAGCAGACAATCGTTTTGAGATGTTCAGTAGACATCGTTTTGAGATGTTCAGCAGACAATCGTTTTGAGATGTTCAGTAGACATCGTTTTGAGATGTTCAGTAGACAATTGTTTTGAGATGTACAGTAGACAATGTACAGTAGACAATTGTTTTGAGATGTACAGTAGACAATTGTTTTGAGATGTACAGTAGACAATTGTTTTGAGATGTTCAGTAGACATCGTTTTGAGATGTTCAGCAGACAATCGTTTTGAGATGTTCAGTAGACATCGTTTTGAGATGTTCAGCAGACAATCGTTTTGAGATGTTCAGTAGACATCGTTTTGAGATGTTCAGTAGACAATCGTTTTGAGATGTACAGTAGACAATCGTTTTGAGATATACAGTAGACAATTGTTTTGAGATGTACAGTAGACAATTGTTTTGAGATGTTCAGTAGACAATCCTTTTGAGATGTTCAGCAGACAATCGTTTTGAGATGTTCAGTAGAGATGTACAATAGACAATCGTTTTGAAATTGTTTAATAGAGATGTACAGTAGACAATAGTTTTGAGATGTACAGTAGACAATTGTTTTGAGATGTTCAGTAGACAATTGTTTTGAGATGTACAGTATACAATCGTTTTGAGATGTACAGTAGAGATGTACAGTAGACAATTGTTTTGAGATGTACAGTAGACAATAGTTTTGAGATGTACAGTAGACAATTGTTTTGAGATGTTCAGTAGACAATTGTTGTTTGCTGTCCAGTAGACAATAGTTTTGAGATGTACAGTAGACAATTGTTTTGAGATGTACAGTAGACAATAGTTTTGAGATGTACAGCAGACAATCGTTTTGAGATGTACAGTAGACAATTGTTTTGAGATGTTCAGTAGACAATTGTTGTTTGCTGTCCAGTAGACAATAGTTTTGAGATGTACAGTAGACAATTGTTTTGAGATGTACAGTAGACAATTGTTTTGAGATGTTCAGTAGACAATTGTTGTTTGCTGTCCAGTAGACAATTGTTTGAGATGTACAGTAGACAATTGTTTTGAGATGTACAGTAGACAATTGTTTGGAGATGTTCAGTAGACAATTGTTTTGAGATGTACAGTAGACAATTGTTTTGAGCTAACATTTGTTGGAGCCTGTCACCTCGATCAATGCAGACACTACAAGAAATATTACCAGCCAATGACCAGCCTGGGACTGCTGGTTTTAGTTAATCTCCTTGTCCATCATGTTTGCCTAACCTTTGACATTCTTTAGGTCCACCAACATCTTCACTGGTATCTATTGTAATCACACTGGGTAATTAGTTACAAAGATGTTGTCTTTGTTTCCACTGCAGCCTGTAGCCATAGTGACAGGGCCAACACTAATGGATCACCATTGTCACTACACAGACTTTGTAGCTGTCTCTGTGGTATCATAGCTATCCATCGCATCATTAATTTTCATGCGAGTTTTTTTAATTGATTTTGTTTAGTTTTGACAGCCAAAACCACAAAATAAGAGTTTTCAACTTTGACACAATTTTTTTCTTCTAAGTTTGTATTAATGTATTGCTAGTATTCAAGGTAGAAAACAGCATTTCAATAGAAAAACACTGCAATGCCATTCATACATATGAATACAATGACCAAGGACACAAAACACATAATATTCAACATTTACACAAATGTAAAGCAGTGCAAGGGATGATGCATTATTTGACATTTGACCTTGAACTTCATTACCTTAACCAAAGAATGAAGATTCAGACAACGATCTAAGTGGACAGGGGATGTAAACCTTGTCTATGTTATTCCTTACTCGTATTCTTATGACTGTGGTGTGAAATCTGATGATGTCCACAAGTCAACAATAACATTATCTAAGTCAGGACAACATCAACTTTATATAACCTTCAAATTCCCTTCTTCACCTTCCATGTATATAAACTGTCCAATTTTATAGCTGTTCTAGATGAGAAGTTTTAAGTGAATTAATAAGGGCTGCTCTTAATGCATGAATTGAAATACCAATATTTTTCCCATCCTTTTATTTTTGTTGTTGTTTTTTCTTTTAAAGAGAGCTCCAGGAAAACGAACACTGTGAACATCCATTTTACATTTCAGCCTTTAACTATAATGGTACAAACATTGGCATATCCAATTTTAACATAAAATGTTCTGTTTTCTACACCAATTTAACAAGGCTATATTTGGTCTTTATTAAGAGCAGTCAAGCAGCAATCATTATTAGAAAAGTGGCTCGGTCAGGTGACGACTTCCAAAATCCCCAAATACCAGTGTAATAGTCACATAACTTTATTCTAGATTTGAATTTCTGTTGGGTAATTGTTCTGATAAGTAACTATGACAACAGAACCTTCTCTCCCTTTTCATCAAAATAGACTATTCCAGCTAACAGCAGTAAAAGCCTAAGGCTAGAACCTGAAGGGAGGCTGTCAGAGCAGGTTAAATTGTCCCATTTCAAGCAAGCCATGTAATTGGAGAAGTTCTAATAGCTTTTTTAACCTTGGTATTGATCCAAAATGTCTTCTCAACATTGCTTGGAAATAATTAGGAAAACTTGACATTTTAAAAGACAGTTTTTTAGTGATGAGTTTGTGTCCCTGCCAGACAAGTCTGCCAGTACTTCATGCGTAATGGAATTAGAAATCTACCACCAGACTGGCACTTATGGTTAATACTACCCACAGATAAACAAGTCATGTGGAAACATTGTGTCAGTTGTTATCTACTTGTTATCATGTCTCCTTGTTGACATGGTTACCTAATATCAAATATATACACATTGATACCAGCAGCCATTATGTTAAGGCAAGTAGGATATTCGGCGAAAATTTACAAATCGTTTTTTTTGCTCTCACGTAAGACTTCTTTTTCGCCAACAAAATGTTCCATTTGCAAGCCTTGGTGAAAATCTTTCAAAACAAGTTTCATAGAAAACAAATTCAAAATACTTTCTATCACATCATTCTGAAAAGTTTAATCTTCAAAAGATTCAAATTCACAATAAGGAAGACAAAATCAGAAAGAGGGAGCCATTTTGTTGGGTCTTTTTCATTTAATGACATGTCATTGTCCATATTGTGACATCACAATCAATGTCATAGGTGCAGCTAATGAAAACCATGACAGGGGATACTACACCAGTGACATATGCATTCATTGGATAACAGGCAGATTATGTGATAAAAAAATCTGCATTAACATCAAAATTGAATAAGTCCATGTTTTCTTTTTGTCTTATATTTAAAAAGACAAAGAAAGTTAATCTGTGACCAAGGTTCCCCTGTTTATGATATCCACTAGGAAATCACACCAACAAATAGCATAACAGTAACAAGAGATCCCAGAGGGATCTTGGCGCCCACCATTTGAGGATCTGTTTTCAGTTCTTGAAGATTTGTTTATTTTTTTTTGTTTGTTACAGGTGTTTTAAATGTTCATGAACTGGTATTCATTGAATGTACTCAATGATGGCACAAGATATTCTTATTAAGCACCTATTAGCAAATATCATTTGAAAAAGATCCCAAAGTATTATTAGATAGCAGTCAGTTACAGGTGGATAATGGACAATATGCTGGTGCTGTATTACTGTTGACATCCAAGATGACTGCCTGTGGGCCACCTTGATTTCAAATCAGTCCAAAAGAGGTACAATGCACAACTAGGGACCAAGGGAAACCAATATCTATGAAATATCAGAAGGATCCATCCAGTACTTCCTCAGATATAGCAGTAACAAGATTTTACTCTCAAAATCCAAGATGGCCACCTGTCGGCCATCTTGAATTCGCATCAGTCCAAAAAAGGTACAATGCACAACTAGGGACCAAGGGGAAACTGTATATGAAATTTGAGAACGATCCATCCAGTACTTTCCAAGAAATAGCGGTAACAAACTTTTACTTCCAAAATCCATGATGGCCACCTGTCGGCCATCTTGAATTTGAATCAATCCAAAAAAAGTACAATGCACAACTAGGGACCAAGGGGAACCTGCATATGAAATTTGAGAAAGATCCATCCAGTACTTTTCCAGAAATAGCGGTAACAAGAATTGTTTACGTACGGACGGACGGACCACGGATGCAGGGCGATTTGAATACCCCACCATCTGATGATGGTGGGCTAAAAAAGAGACAACGTGACCTACTTTATGGATCTACAGGACAGACCAGAGAAAACCTACTTTATGTAGTATGGCTTGTCGTTTTTGTCCATAGCACATTCCCAGCCATAAGGAAGTCCCAGAGCTCCAGGATCCCAGTTGTCGGGAGGCGGGACCCATGATGACACCTGGTTACCATGGCTGCAACAAATCAAAATATTTGTATAAAAGTCATGTTCAGTAAATAAATGAAATGTGGTAATAATATAAACATTTTACTGATTTGTCAACTAGTTCCATTCTATACAGGAGCTTTAGTTTACATAATAGAAACTCTGAGATATACAAAATGTAGGTATGTAGCTGTATATCAACAGTGTCTCTAACATCTTCTTGGTAAATAAATGAATAAATAAATAAAATAAATAAATACTGTATATCAGGAATATTTTCTGGTGATCTTATTTTTGTGAATTAATTAGCAACCCTTTCTAAATTGCAAATTATCAAAATTGCAAAATTTGCATGTTTTTTTTTTTAATTTAGATTCCTTGATAGAGTTACACATGTACCTGAACATTTTCTAATCAGAAATACTGCCATAATCGATTAACACTTGTCAGTATGTAAATATCTCATGTATGACTGGTTGGTTATATCGCCAGTTAATGTTGGAATCTTCACTGGTTTATATGAAAACTTTCTGACTCCACAAAATTACAAAAAAATTGAAATGCACGAAAATTTCCAATTGTACATTATTAAGGAATTTTTGCAAAAATTGCAGAGTAAAAAAATCTGCTGATGTACAGTATTGTGACAAGTAGTTTTTCAATTTTACATCACAGTCTGTTTCCTTTAACTGGTCAGTAGAGGGTTTACATTAAGGTCTCTAAATACTGAAAACAAAACTTCTGATTGAATTTTTCAATACTGCCAAACTTAGAAGTAGAAGTTCAAAAGCAGTGTTTACCATATCTAAGAGCTGCTACAGACCACTTAGTTTTAATACACTATTTCTTTATTTCAGAACTCCTTCATACCAAGGGAACTATCCTTTCACATGTTCTGATTGGCCCCACAGCATTAATATATTTCTTCTTTTTAAAACCCATGTATACCTCAGGGATCTGATTTTGTGTCATCAAGTGTCTTGTATATGTTTTCTAGATTAGGGGCTAAAATCCCTTGTGCCATCTCTAAGCTGAAAACAATACACTTAATGTTTATTTTGTATGTATTGTATCATGGACCAGTAATGGGAAACACTAAACAACTTGTACACAATGTATAGAAACTTCTCAATTAATATGGATATAGAAATGATTGTCAATTTCCTCCAACATGTAGAACTGCCTTGTGTGTTGCTGAGATTCAGCCATCAATGGTCTTTGATTGTTTCTGGGTGAGCCATCAATATTCTCTGGGCCTTACCAGTACAGAATTCTGATTGTGACCTTGTTGTTGATGCTGGTCAGAATATTTTATTCACAAACTAGAGACACCGAGTTGTGTTCACGAGTATTGCCCTTAATTAGGACTCTGACTGAATACTGATAGAACATTATTCTTGTGTCAACACTGTATTCTAATAACAAACACCATCACAGTCTGTCATAATCAGTTCTCTTATCAATACTCTCCCATATCAAAATACATCATTTTAATAAACACATTATTTGGATTTATACATGTGGCATGAAACATCAGGATAAAAGAACGTTAAGCATCAACTTTGTAGACAAGCGATGAACACATTATAGGTTATACAGATGGCGAAAATTAGGCCACAAACCACTGCCAACTGCACATATACTCCATATAATCTAAGTTAACAGAGTGTTTGAAGAATCAGTAAAGTTCCTATTAATTAGCAAGCACCTGTATGAAGTCAATGAATCTAAGATCAGTGTCTAAAGCTAGTCGTTATTGTAAAACTAACATGATTTTTTATGTGAACACTGCGCCTGTGATGTTGAGATAATGGCGTTATGAAATTCCGAGTAAAATTCCTCAAACAGCGATGTTCAGATTGTCAGTCTGGTTAGGCTGGTCTAGCCATCTCAATCTCAGTAAAACACGGTATTGGGACTTTTAACCAACTCACTTCATAAGAGGAAACAAATATAAGCACAAGATAGTAATTTGAAAAAGCATTTTGTTCTTATTCACAAAGATTATGAAATAATATCTGGAATGTGTGTAAGATATAAAACAATGGTTATTGATGCCAATCATACAGGAGAGAGAGCACTCCTCCAAACCATATGGTATCTGTTTACTGATCTCCGACTTTTTTTTCTGTTACAAAGAGCCTTGCTAAAGATGAGCTTTGTGGAGCCATAGACACTACCTGTCTCCTTATCTATACTTTTAGTGCAGTTTTCCAGCATCCTGGTACCCTCTGTTAAATGTAATGGATCTCCAGCAACCTACCCACCAAAAGATATAACACTGAAGCATGTATACTGCACCCAGCATTGTCTACGGTAGAAGGTATTCCACTAACATACCATATCATCACATCTTTAACTTCTTTCCCATCATCTACAGCCAGCTTAACCACAAATCACTTGAACCTGTTCATGACTAACCTTTATGTTACTATGTTCTGATATAATAGAACAAGACTTTGATTGGTGAGTGATAATAAAAACATCACTGACCTTTAACAGAACATTAGAAGTGTTCACTTTGTGCCAAGTTTATCTCTGTTCTTGTTGGTAGACCTTTACTGTCAGGATGGTTATTCACAGGTCACATACTCTTGTAACTCTCTTACCCATACAAGATGACACAAAATCATGTGGGCAGGATGACACAAAATCTTGTGGGCAAGATGACACCGAATCATGTGGGCATGATGACACAAAATCTTGTGGGCAGGATGGCAAAAAATCTTGTGGGCAAGATAACACAAAATCTTGTGAGCAGGATGACACAAAATCTTGTGGGCAGGATCAAAAACTTGTGGGCAGGATGACACAAAATCTTGTGGGCAGGATGACACCAAATCAAGTGGGCAAGATGACACAAAATCTTGTGGGCAGGATGACACCAAATCTTGCGGGCTGGATGACACAAAATCTTGTGGGCAGGATGACACAAAATCATGTGGGCAGGATGACACAAAATCTTCTGGGCAAGATAAAACCAAATCATGTGGGCAGGATGACACAAAATCTTGTGGGCAGGATGACACAAAATCTTGTGGGCAAGATAACACCAAATCATGTGGGCAGGATGACACAAAATCTTGTGAGCAAGATGACACCAAATCATGTGGGCAAGATGACACAAAATCTTGTGGGCAGGATGACACCAAATCAAGTAGGCAAGATGACGCAAAATCTTGTGGGCAGGATGACACCAAATCTTGTGGGCAGGATGACACCAAATCATGTGGGCAAGATGACACAAAATTTTGTGGGTAGGATGACACAAAATCTTGTGGGCAAGATGACACAAAATCTTAAGTAATACATTATACCTCCTTAAAGACTTACAGAACACATATTACCTCAAAAGTAAGCAACCCAGATTCTCGTCCCAAGGAATTGGGGCATACATATTTATAAACGTGAGATCCCAGAGGGATCCTGGCACCCACTTTTCTTTGGCTTTTCTTTGTACTTTCCATTTCTCTTCTTTACTCTCTCTTCATTCTTAACTCTACATAAATATAAAATTTGAATATTCCTCTTAATGGTAAAAATTCTTCATAAAAAAAATTGAGAAAAATTTATCAAGTACTTCACAAGAAATAGCGATAACAAACTTTCATCACTGAAAACCAAGATGGCTGCCTGCCAGTCATTTTGTTCTTCTAATCCATCAATCAACATGACAGAATAAGAGACCGAGGGGTACATATGTATGAAATCTGAGAAAGATCCATCATGTACATCTCAAGAAATAATGTTAACAAGAATTCTTCACGAATGGACACAGACAAATGAACACCACACCAAAAGTCAATCTGAATAGTCCACCAATTCTGATGATGTTGCTCTAAATCAGATGGTGGACTTGAAAAAAAACTGTTTACTAAAGTTTGAACAAGATTTGTAAAGTATCTTGTTTTTATCTAACTCACCTATATACTCCAGTGACATTCATTCACATTGGAGTGTATCTCAAGCTGTCACAGTAACATGTTAACCTCACTTAGCACGCCCCTCGGGGACATGTTTTAGAAACCTAGTATCACAGCATTGGACTTCTCCTTCAGTGATATCTCTGAAGGAGGCTGATAGGAAATCTTTACTCTATGACAAGAAATCAATTTGTGGCTTTTCTTTCAAAACATCTCTGTGGACCCAATTGTAAAGCGGATACTGGAGACCTAGTGGCTAGGATAGAACACATATCAACCGTACTGTGTTACCAAGTCGATCTCAAAACGACCAGCTTTGATTGGTGGAGTCAACAGCAATGTTTTCAACTGATTTACAGCAATACACAAATTTAAGTGCACAACGCTTGTCTCTGGAACAAGACCTCAGACAATTCTCCACTGGAAAAAATATCAACAGATAGCTAAAGCCATCCAAACCCAGTGATAGCTACATGTTATAATAGACGTCCCAACCCAGTAATAGCTACATGTTATAATAGACGTCCCAACCCAGTGATAGCTACATGTTATAACAGACGTCCCAACCCAGTGATAGCTACATGTTATAATAGACGTCCCAACCCAGTAATAGCTACATGTTATAATAGACGTCCCAACCCAGTGATAGCTACATGTTATAACAGACGTCCCAACCCAGTGATAGCTACATGTTATAATAGACGTCCCAACCCAGTAATAGCTACATGTTATAATAGACGTCCCAACCCAGTGATAGCTACATGTTATAACAGACGTCCCAACCCAGTGATAGCTACATGTTATAACAGACGTCCCAACCCAGTGATAGCTACATGTTATAACAGACGTCCCAACCCAGTGATAGCTACATGTTATAACAGACGTCCCAACCCAGTGATAGCTACATGTTATAACAGACGTCCCAACCCAGTGATAGCTACATGTTATAATAGACGTCCCAACCCAGTGATAGCTACATGTTATAATAGACGTCCCAGCCCAGTGATAGCTACATGTTATAATAGACGTCCCAGCCCAGTGATAGCTACATGTTATAATAGACGTCCCAACCCAGTGATAGCTACATGTTATAACAGACGTCCCA